TGTGGTAAACAAGGTCACTTCGCTCGGGTATGTAAGCAGAATTTAAATAGTAATAAGGCCCGTATAAACCGTGTATATAATATTGAGCAAAATCAAGATGTTACGCGTTCTATTGATTGTGAATCTTGTTTTATATCAACCATAAATGGTCAAGAAAGTTCTTCAGATGGTTGGTTCGAAACATTATATTTTAAGAAGGGTATCGAAAACTTTAAATTGGACACGGGGGCGGATATAAATGTTTTATCTTTTGAAAGGTTTTTGCAACTGGGTTTTGATTCCAATATAATAAAAAATGATTGTATTAAATTAGAATCGTATAGTGGTAATATAATACCAGTAAGAGGCGTTTGCTATTTACAATGTTTTTATAAAAATGTTTGTTATAATTTAAAGTTCGGGATTGCCGATTTACATTGCCAAAGCGTGCTGGGACGACAGTCGTGTGAGAAGTTAGGGTTAGTCAAACGAGTTCATGAAATTAATATATCAGACTATGATGACTTATTTAGTGGTATTGGGTGTCTTCCAGGAAAGTATCATATTGTTTTAGACGAATCCGTACCTCCGGTGATTTATAATCTTAGGAAGATTCCGTTAAGTTTACGTGAACGGCTAGCAGATGAGTTTAAAAATATGGAAAACCAAGGTATAATAAGAAAAGTTTCTCATCCAACTCAAAAGTACAACGGGATTCGAGTGTGCTTAGACCCACGAGAACTTAACCGTGCAGTGCGGCGCGCGCATTTCCAATTGCAAAAGTGTCGGAGCTCGCAGCGCGGCTACACGGAGCATGCTTCTTTTCCGTCTTAGATGCCAACTCAGGCTTTTGGGCTATACAACTGGATGAGCAGAGTGCAGACTTGTGTACATTTGCCACACCGTTCTGTCGATATCAATTTCTTCGTTTACCGATCGGTATTAATTGCTCATCCGAAGTATTTCACGCTAAAATGAAGCAGCTTTTAGAAGATTTAGAGGGCACAGATAGTTTTATAGATGATATAATTGTCTGGGGACGGAACAAGCATGAACACGACAGAAGACTAGTTGCGTTGTTACAAAGAGCTAGAGAAATTAATTTAAAATTTTATGAAAAAAATGCAAAATAGCAGTTGAAGAGGTTACTTACTTGGGACATATTTTTGATAAAAACGGTATCAGATCCTAATAAAGTAAATGAGATGCCTTAACCCTCAGACAGAAAAAGTTTAGAAAGATTTTTGGGAGCCGTTAATTATTTATCGAAATTTATTCCGTGTTATTCTGATCGCGCTCTTCTCCTAACGAATTTATTAAAAAAAGATAGTAGTTGGCGATGGGAAATTAGTGAGCAGACAGCATTCGAAAAATTAAAAGAATGTGTTTGCACAGCGCCAGTGTTGGCGTTGTACCACGTATCTCAGCCTGCCTTGTTATCGGTAGACGCGTCTCGCGATGCACTCGGTGCGGTACTACTGCAGGGTGGTCGGCCGGTCGATACGCCTCGCGAAGCCACAAGTGGAAAAGGAATTGTTAGCGATTGTGTTCGCCTGTGAACTATTTCACCAATATATTTTTGCAAAAAATAATGTCGTGTAGAAATAGATCATAAACCTTTGGAAAGTATCTTTAAAATGCCATTAATATCCGTCCCAGCCCACTTACAACGTATGATGCTCAGAATACAAGGCTATGACTTAGTCGTTAAGTATAAACTAGGAAAATGTATGTATATTTCAGATGCACTGTCTCGCGCGCCGCTTCCCGACTTAGTATTAGATAATAAATTAGATAAAAAAATTCTATATCAAGAAAAATTAATTGTAAACAGTATTCCAATTTCAAATAGCAAGTTATAAAAAATGAAACGAAAAATGATTTTGATTTATGTACCTTACTAAATTATATTAAATTAGGATGGCCTAATGATAAGTATAACGTAATAGAAAATCTTAAAAAATATTGGTCTTTAAAAAATGAGTTATATGTGGTAGACGACGTCATATTTAGAGATAATGTTGTTTTAGTTCCTCGTTCCCTGAGAACAGATATGTTGAAAATTGTGCACGAAGGGCACTTAGGTATAGATCGGTGCAAGCGACGCGCAAGACAAGTTATATTTTGGCCAGGCATGTCACGTGACATAGAAATGTATGTGAAACGTTGTTCGGTGTGCAGGGAGAGTTCAAACGCACCAGCTAAAGAACCCATGATTCCAGTGGAAATTCCTAATTTGCCCTGGTTTAAGGTGGGGTCTGATATATTTGAATATAGAAAGAAATATTATCTTATTTTAGTTGATTATTATTTTAGTTATGTTGAGGTAAAAATATTAGAAAATATTACATCACAAGTGGTTATACGCGGTATGAAGGATATATTTTCACGCCACGGTATACCTGAAATACTTATAAGTGATAATGGCACTCAATATACTAGTCGCGAGTTCAAGCAGTTTAGTAGAGATTGGGGCTTCACTCACATTACATCCTCACCAAACTATCCACAGGCTAACGGAAAAAGTGAACGCGCGGTGCAAACCGTTAAGTCTTTGTTAATTAAAGCTCTTAAGGGGAATAGTGACTTTGAACTTGCTTTATTGAATTACAGAAATACTCCGAGACATGGTTTGGACTCTCCCGCGCAATTATTAATGGGTCGGAGATTACGTTGTAAATTACCAGTTTGTGCAGATTTACTAAAACCACAGGTTGTAGACCCATGTACGTTTAAAACAATGCTGCAAAAAACAGCAGCAGTCAAAAATGTACTATGATAAACATTGTAAGCCGTTGCCTAAACTTAACAATGGTGACGAAGTAATATGTATAGATGGAGAGAAAAGAACACCCGCTACTGTAATAGGTGAAGGTGATACTCCTCTTTCATATATAATAAATAATAAGCTAGGAAGACCAATCCGACGCAATAGGCGTCATTTAATTAAGTCTTACTCAAGTCAAGATTTTAAAAATATAAAAAAAGATATTTTCATCACTGGAAATGGAGGGGGTGGCAATTTTGTGCAATGCAAAAAATCACAACAAAGCCCTGATAAGATAAATCAGCGAAACGAGAACTCTAGTTCAAGTGAAAATAAAATTGCTTAAAATGTAATCAATGACATAATAATGAGGCATCCACACCATGGCCACACCCTCTCACACGTAGTAAGGCCCGACGACTCAACATAAAAATTTTAATTAATGTATAAATATAATAAATTTTAAGTTAGAGTTATAAGAATTTTCGTTTGTTTCAGTTATTTTTTTATATAAGGGGGATGGATGATATTGTATCTTTATTAATAAGGGGAGATGTTGTGGGCATTTGTATTATTGTATACGTAGGTAGTTATGAGAGGAATAAATCCGTTGTTGTCTCACTAAAGAACGTGTATTATTTCAAACACAACATAAGTAATCTAGGGGCACGGCAGTGCCCGCGCCAAGTCGAACAAAAAAAGCGGCACGGCCGTATCATACTTTTCTCGAAGCAGTTCAGGCCATTTTCGACCCCTATAACTTCGTTCTGGTTAAAACTAGAAGAAGAAATGGTGTATTTCAAATTGCATTCAATTTGAACCAGTAGTTTAAGAATTATAACTAGTAAAAGTTTCTTAATTTTGTCACTCACTGACTGACCGATCATCAAAACTCTAAGCCACATCTAGCAAACATAGAAGCTTCAAATTTAAAATACATTTAGTGTTTATTGTATATGTGTGTATATATATGTCCAGTTTTCTAGATACACCAACTGCATAAATAACTTTGTAATCCCATATGAATATATAGGATTACAAAGTTACATTTGCAGTGAATGAATCAGTGTACCTGTAATAGGTGTAGATAGGTACGTTGTTAGTATTCAAGAAGTAAATGGTAGCGGAAAGGAAAAAAAAGTAAGATTATCTACAAAAAGAAATGAGATGCCATCAAAAACATAACTTGTATAAAAACCCAAGTCTCGCAAGTCGCAACTCAGTTCTTCTACCGTAAAAAGGAGTGAGATCTATGTAATACCAAGTCGGTTAATTTATTCAGTCCCTACTTAAGTGCCCTTCTGTTTTAAATTATTACGTAATTAGCTAACCTAACAACATCTTATAGTGACCATATCAATGTTAAAAATCTTTTATGTTTTAAATAAATAGATTGACTTGGCCATCACATGAAAACACAATGTATCTCACAAGTAATACATATTACATTAAGTTAGATTGTTTCGTAATCATCAAACATCGCTTATATATTGAGTCTTGAATGTATTATCTTAGTAAAAATAATACATCCAAGACTCAATATATAACCGATGAATTGGCCCTTGAGCCTCTATCGAGTGTATCGAGCTTATTTGAGCATAAAGAAAAGGTCATCCAGCGCTTAACAATACTGAGCCCCCCCCCCCTTAATGACTGAAAAAATGCTGACACTGCTACAAGCTGCGTGTGCAGAAGTCTGGAGAAGACTGGAGATAAGTCGTCGAGAAAACAAAGAAAATAATCTTAATGGTTTTGAACGAGATGTGCGAGTAGAAAATATTGTTAAAAAATAAATTGAAAATATATCTGAGTGCAGACAGCATTAATAGCGATGACAACACTAGTTACAAGTCGGATAGTTCAACTGAATAAATGTAATTTTTCTATTTTATACCTACTAAAATAGTTCAATTATGTACTTACTTGTTTTAGTTTATTTCCTTAAAATTACGATAAAATATTATAATGGGACACGCATTCTAATGGGACTCTATTAAAATTGCAGTACATAAACAAGAAATGTTTTTTAAAGAATTGATGTAATTTTTATTTCACAATAACTGGATTCGATTCACAGATCTTTAAAAACTCTATCGATTCATTCAATTTAATCGATAATTTTAAGCAGGTCCCCTCACTATAAAGCTAAGACTGATAGATGCATCCTATTAAAGTGGCTCTACTAAATTTATACATAATATCTATTTTTCTACATCTAGGCAACAAAAATGGTGTTACGTGTAAAGAATCTTACCAAATAGATGGAGTGATACAAGAACGACCGTTATAACCGGGCCAAAGGACACATAGTTTGGGTCACCAGCATGAAATACTGGCGCCCATCGTATATGGCTCAATGTTGCATGATGTCCAGTACCATAGAAATTATAACAGGCTAGCAGAGCCCATAAGCATGCCACACTTGAGTTACAACGCGCATTTAAGGCTGAAAATAAAATTACGAGTATTCATATAGTTTAACAAAATTTACTGTACATATTTTAACACTTGAGAATGGGTATGCAATAAAATTTCGCAATATTTATTTCCTTAACATTTTTTTATAGAAGTAAGTATGAAAAAGAAGAACGTTTCACGTGTTAGACCTATATTATAGTTGTAGCACTGAGGACTGAGGAGTTGTAACCTGAGGACTAATAAATGATGCCTCGTTACCAGTAAAACATACGAATCAAAGTAGAATTATACTGTTTTTGTACGCTGCGCTGGTAGTAAGTGCAAGTGTGGTAATTCCCCCATCGAGTCGCCCCATTCGTGCTGCAACTATAAATACATTAGCGTAACATTTCCCACATTAGTAAAGAAATGTAACAGAGACAAAAGCTTCATACAACTGCGTCATGACATGTAAACTACTACACTTTCGTTTCTTTACTCGGGTGACTCTACCACGTATATTTTTTAAAGATGCTTATACATCTTACAATATATAGTTTATGTGTAATGTCTATGGATAAACCACAGTGGAAATTTCACTTCATTAGAAAATTGTAATTAATATCCGTTGAAAACAATACGTAGTAGCTTACAAGTAAAATCACTTGCTCCAGAATTAAAAGGAAGGTCGGTGCATAAAGGGCTACGGAGCATTTGATTGACGATAATAACGGCAAATAATAAATAGTTGGCGCCGTAGTGTTTTGAGCAGTAAGCGAACATGCAATCAGCGCTGCGGTGGAGAAGGTATTGTTAAAGGCATACCACATTTACGTAAAGACAAAAACGGGTACAACTAAGCGCGATTGTCCACCACCGCCGTCACCGGGACGTCAACGAAAACGAGATAACGGCGGCAAAGTGGTGACTAGCGACACATACAATATTTACTATAGCCGCCTGTTCACCGCAAGCTCATCGCCCGACCACCGTCATCCCGGTCGCCGAAGTTTAGAGTAAAGGTTGACTCACGCTAGACCGAGTCGGGTCCGAGCCGAGTGTCGGCCGTAACACGATCACCGAGTCGGTCCCGTGCCTGAAATTAAAAACACGGGCCTCGACCGAGCGATTACCGTTGCGCAGTGATGCAGTATACTCGTCCGAGCAAAAATAGTGTTATAACTAGACTACAATCATGTAATTTGACGATCTGGAATTAGCGGCTATTGCGATCGCTCTGGATGATGAAGAATCTGATAAATCTACAACTACAAGCCGGGACTGAGTTGTTGCGGAGCGTTGTGCGTTGTTCGGCCGTCACTCGGTTGCCGCTCGATATAGCGTGTGTCCATACAAAATATATGTAATATTAGTTGACCGGGCTACGACCGACACTCGGCTCGGACCCGACACGGTCTAGCGTGAGCAATCACGGTACGTTTACACCAAAACCGACTTTGTCGGCCGATGGCCCCAACAAGTTCGGACGGTTGATCGGCCGTTTTCGTGCGTTATCGGACGATGACGGTCGTGTTTGTGTACGCGCTCTCTTTGTTTTACAAGTGTTTGATTTGATCGTCCGAGTTCCGCCGTCTTCGCCCGAGCAAACTTCGGCCGTAGACGGATTAGGTGTATGCGAAGCGTTAGATCGGTGCGACCGCTAGAACTCGGCCCGAGATTGTGATGGACCGATGTACTGGCAATACAAAACACATTTAAACTTGTCCATGCACGCCGACGTCGTGACGTCGCACTGCGCCGGTTTTTGTTTTCAAGGTATATTGCTTGGATTATTTAAATCAAAAATATATTGTAATAAAAATATCCAAGAAATTTATATACGAGATTTAATGCATTGATAGAACTTGAAGAAATTAAGGAATGTTTTTTTTTTTATAAATCAAAGATGTGTCGAAAGATAAAAGTTTGAGCTTTGCCTACGCCTTCGAATGTACAAAAGCAGAAGAAGTTGTCGCCGGTTAAACGCCATTCTCTAGTTCGTTTTATTTCTACGCATTACCATCCACGACAGCTACAAAAAACTCATTTAACCACCGAGATCGTCGCGGCGGACAAACGATCGCCGTCACGTCATCTTGATCTCGTCGACGTCCCGTTGTGACAATTGCTGATAGCCCGGACATTTACTTAAAGTTGACATGATGAAAATATTATGCACAGGAGTAGAATTTCCGCCAGCTACCACCGATTTTTGCAACAGGCATTAGTGAAGTCTGACAGTAAATTATTGAGATTAGTGGTTATAGATTAAGGAATAAATTTTAGTGTATTAGAAACCTAAAAATTCTAAACAGAAAGGTAGGCAGTTAAAATTTAAAAATCTTATTCATTTGTGTGTAGTTCAATCATAGAATACTATAATACACAATAGAATGGCTGTCAACTTTATTTTGTACGAGGATTGGCGTCGCCAAACCCGATTCGTTGTGTTGACAGACTGAATGAATTTACACATTTTAGACTTTTGATTAATGTTCAAGATCATCATTAAAAAAATCGTTTAAATTTTAATACATATTTATTTGTAAATAGGGTGCAATTTGGCATTTTCTAAATAATTTGCATGCGAAATGTGGAAACGATTGTAATGTCAAAACACATCTCGTGTTGACATTTATACTTGTGAATTGACGTGTTAGTGACATTTTAGTGGCTACGCGGGCTCCGCCCACTCCCCCGTTCTATTATGTATGTATTATAGTTCAATAGACAGTTATTTGTTAAATTTAATTGGTTACAAATCATCTAATTTAAAACTACACGCGCTCTGTACTTTAGGGAAATTTATCCGATTTACCGTGCAAAGCATCATACACGCGCCCCTACAAATATGTTTGAGTAGATTTTAGCTACAGTTAAATGATAATAATGATGATATTTTTGCCATATTTGACATCACAAAGTCATAAAATCAGTTTTAAATTATTGATCTCTATTAGGATTATATAGTTTATAAACATTTAGTATACTTACAATATTTAGATGATCCATCAGTCTTTAATAAAGAAACAATATTAAGCGCCAGAAAACCCGAGAGGAGGGATAAAGCGGCTGCAGGCGCATAACTGGCCCCCAGCACCAGAACGTTAGCAAGATAGAGGAGTAAACCAAGTATTACTAATGGTAATGTTGCACCCCGTCCATCTTTCTTCCAGATTAATATAAATATTACAACCAGAACTAGCCAGGCTAACTTTGCTAGAAGTTTTGATTGTGCTGGAGATCCCAGTGAACCCCACCCGACAGCCCAATGAGCACAGACCAACATTCCCCCCTAGAGCAATCCCGTATCCCCGCCATCCAGTATGACGTCTGGCAACAGCTACAATAGCTGACACGGACCCTAAAGCTAATACTAATGCTGCTCTTGAGGCTTGGCCAGTTGAGATACTTTCACCAGCTGTCCAGCATTCACCTTGCTCTTCCCTACAACCACGGTACAGCCTAGTACCCGCTAAAACAATACCACAACCGATCCATAGCACTAATGCTTTGATAGTACCGATGTTCCAAGCCATTAGACCTATCACAGTGATTGTTAAAAAGGAAAGAGTCGCCCCTTCTTCAATGACATAACTGTTAGAAACTAGGACTACAGCTGAAGCAACTAAGGCTGCTCTTGAGCATCTTTCGTAGAAGTATGCCCTGCCTTCGTACCATCTCTGCGCGATCCCATCCCAATGCATGATCGTTAGCACACAAGTCATCCCACCAGATATTAAACCAGTGCTCAAAATGACCGAATGCTCGAGATCCTTTAAGTTTTTGAAGTAATATGCTGTGTAACACACGGCAATGCAGATCGCCATTGATATTAAACCACTCGGCACAAAAGTACTAGCAAATATGTTAGAAATACGCTCAAATGGAATCCCCTCAGTAATCAACCAATTAAAGAAAACTGCTAACAGGAGCAATAGTAGGGCTCTGAGCATGGAGAGTGAGTCAAACTCAACCCATACTTCTCTGAAGACAACTCGAATATTTTCCATTAAGGCCCTGTAACAAGGAAATTATTGTACAAATTACAATATTATATAAGTTTATACGTAATATAGCAATAGTTAGTGGAAGGTTGCGAACATAACTTTATTATATTATTATCACTTTATTATATTTATTATTATTACTTTACTATAGTGACTGCCCCGTTGGTCTAGTGGTTGTAGTAGTGAGACTGCTGATCATGACTGCTGGTCCTGGGTTCGAATCCCGGGTCGGGCCAAAAAATCAATTATTAAGTTTTTCTGTCAAGAAATTCTCAGTAGCTGCCCGGAGTCAGGAAGTTGGCGGTGTCTCACCCCTGTGCCTCGGGAAGCACGTAAAGCCGTTGGTCCTGCACCTGATCTCTCTCCGGTCGTGTCGGTTTACCGTCCCATCGGATTATGAGAGTAAGGGAATAGAGAGTGCACCTTTGCTTGCGCTTACACTTGGTCACTATAATCCTGTCCTGCGCCGATGGCTAGCCTCCGTTTAGACAGGCCGCCGTGACCTAAATTCGGTCTGGAGGACATTATTATATTATTATCAAAATACAAAAAATTAAGAAGTCATATTTTACTCTTACTATATTGCTATATGTTAACGTAAAATGGAAAGAAGCATGTTTGGTCTCAAAATATCAGATAAGGTTAACAACGTCCACATCAGGAAAAAAAAACAAAAATAATAGACGTAAGAAAAAGAACAAGACTACTCAAGTGGCCCTGGGTAGGAGCAGGACACATCTGTAGGGTGAATAATAACAAATGGACCAAACGTCTAACAGAATCGATACCAAGGTACAGTAAAAGGAAAAAAGGGATACCAAGTAAAGGGTGGAGAGACATTTTTAATCGAGATGTGGATCCCTATGGATGCGAGTGGCTCAGGAAAGAGATATAAGTAAAGGTTTAGGAAAGGCCTACGCCGAACAGGCGACTACTACTAATATTAATTAAGTCATATATATACATACATAATTACAAATATATTAAAAATACTTATTCATTATATGTAATATACTATTATAACCTAGACTAATCATAAGTCGTTTGTATTGTAGTAGGAATAAAGGCTGAAATAATACTAGTTTTTACGGAATTTATCGCGTATATTTTAACTTTTTAAATACCCGACGTTTCGAACGCTTTACAGCACTCATGGTCACGGGCAGGACTGAGATGTTCAACGTCCATATGTCATAGTTAACCGCGGTTACCATAGATTAAAATTTAACTTTTGTTCCGATCTATGCAGTATGAACTTATGGTATCTTGAAGTCTTGATTAAAGACCTACATCTGGCAGACAATGAAACTATGGTCAGTTTTGATGTGCAGTCATTGTTTACATGCTTACCTGTTGAAGACTGCATCTCAATTGTAACTAGAAGGCTAGAAGAAAACAACATGCCCGTAGAATATGCAGTATTACTCAGACACTGCCTTACATCTGGCTACCTATTGTGGAAGGAGGAGTTCTACAAGCAAGTAGATGGTGTGGCGATGGGCTCACCTGTATCTCCCATTGTCGCCGACATATTCATGGAAGACTTTGAGGAGAAAGCCCTGCTTAGTTCTCCCATAAATCCAAGGTTCTACAAGCGGTACGTAGACGACACTTTCACAATTCTACCTTTAGATAAAGTAACTGCATTTTTAGACCATCTTAACTCTATAAATTCTAAAATTCAGTTCACAATGGAGTTAGAGGCAAACAATTTCTTAGCTTTTCTAGATGTGTTAGTAATTCGGAATCCTGATAACACCTTGAGCCATACTGTGTATAGAAAAAAGACCCATACAGATAGATATTTAAACGGTGATTCTCACCACCATCCTTCACAGTTAGCTACCGTGGGTAAATCTTTGTTTCAGAGAGCACGAGGGATCTGTGACAGTAAACACCTGGCTGCAGAGCTCCACCATGTCAAGCAAGTTTTGCATGACAACAAGCTTCGAGTCCCGCGCCTACGTCACAGTGAACGAGTGAAGCCGGCCACAGTGAGGGCTGTACTGCCAAGTGAGTCACTGACAAGATTGGCTACATCTTGAAGCGCGCTTCCATCAAAACATACTTCAAGCCGCTGAAGAAGATTGGTCAGTTTTTACCATCGGTCAAGTGTAATGTCCCTCTGCAAGATGCAGGAGTGTACAAGCTTGATTGTGAATGTGGTCTCTCCTACATAGGACAAACTAAAAGATCAATAAAAACCCGCGTTAAAGAACATATAGCTGATGTGAAGAATCGACGCTCCGGGAAGTCTGCAGTCTGTGAACACGTACAGGATCGCCCCCCGTCACTACATCAGATTTGATAGACCGCAGATCCTCGCTAAAGAACACCGATTCCTTCCAAGGATGATTCGCGAGGCTATTGAAATCAAAAAACATCCTAATTTCAATAGAGAAGATGGCTGGGTGCTACCATCTGCTTGGGATCCTATAATAAATAAAATTAAATCCCAACCCAAGCATACAACTGCAAGACTTCAAGATACCATAAGTTCATACTGCATAGATCGGAACAAAAGTTAAATTTTAATCTATGGTAACCGCGGTTAACTATGACATATGGACGTTGAACATCTCAGTCCTGCCCGTGACCATGAGTGCTGTAAAGCGTTCGAAACGTCGGGTATTTAAAAAGTTAAAATATACGCGATAAATTCAGTAAAAACTAGTATTATTTCAATGTGTAGTGTTCGCGTAAATATAAGAAATCATTATAGGAATAAAGGCTATTTTATTTTATTAATTTATTTAAGTACTTACCTAACATCAGAAGCATACTTCTTGAGATCTTGTTCACTTTCAATTTTAGCAGCTTTCTCTATTTGGTCTCTTGTAGTATTGATGAGATAAGCCAGTTTATCTAAAGGTACCTGTTGCGATTCCTCACCATAGCGAACTAGGTATTTTGTTATCTAAAAGCAAATATAAACTACGTAATACAAATGCTAAGTTTTCAAGGAGAGGGAAAATTTTCAAAATGCGTTTTCTTCAATAATGATGTTTCGCGTAAATTTAAGAAATCATTATCATAATGTCCTTTTTATTTACGCATGTAATTGCAGAATCCTAGTTCACAAGTTAGTGCACTAAGCCGAATTTCTTTCATTCGAATTCCATTCGATGCTAACTGCCAAAATGGCACAGCCATACTTAAAAACATGCGCAAGCATTATGTCTGGAGAATTAATATAATGCAGGTATGCTAAAAGAGATTAGGTGTTCTGACACATAGCACTACGATGCCAGAGAGCGAACTAAAATCAGTAGCAGAACTAGGAGAGCTTTCTAGAAAACTTCTTGCCAGAACTTTCGACATTCTACTCGAACATTCTAGATGTTTTCAGTAGAAAAGGTCCTATATAAGACTGGTATTGACCGCGACCCGAGACAGTATTGAATTGGCAATGCAAGCAAATACTTCGAAGTTATATAACTGCGAATTGTGATTTATTATAAGTGTGTTTTAAGTTGTAATTAGTGTTCGGTAATTAATGTCAATTTTGGTAATTCAATCGGCAGTTTTTAACTGTCACAAACCCCAAGCTCGTAACAATATATATTTAACATCTCTGTCGTGCCACCCCACAAAGAAAAAATATTTTGTTGAACATTTTTGCAATAAGCAGAATATGGTTCGTACGACCAACTTGGATCTCGAAATTGTGCCCAATTGTTTTTAATACGTACTGTTTTCGTACATTTTTCGGGGTAGGCATAAACCTACCCCAAAAATCTAACAAACCTTAACTTAAAAATGTAACATATGAATCGGCACTCGTCGCATGAAATATGGTCGAAATTAGGGAGGCTAAAGGCTTTTACACTGTGAGTAGACGTGTGTCAATCGTGAATTATTCGTTCATTTGATCCGGAACGCATCAAAGTATCGATGATTGCAATTACATTTTTTTAACGTACCGGATAAAACTATTGACAGGAACTACGACCAAACAGTATAGTAATGTCCGACGTTCGATATTATCGAGCAGGGGTAAGGTTTACAATTCGGTCGCCTGAATTTGGGGGTGGGGGTGGCGTGGGGGGAGGGGGAGGAGTTGTAGAGTCACCCCCTACTTCCACTTTCTGCCGGACGTGCTTAGTTTTTTTTTTATTAATTTTTAAAAATCTCATTTTGAGGTTATGTTTCGTAATTTTTATGACAATTTTAACCTGATTTATGGGTAGAGAGAGTTGGAGGATGGAAGCCCCACGCCACTTAACGTGGTGCAGTCGAGGGACGTCCGGTCGACGGAGCCCGCTTCGCGGGGCTCCTACTTCTGAGTGGTTTACAAAAAAATAACCACGAAGAGGATGACGGAGTCTATTCGCTCGCTTCGCTCGCTCCCACGACCCCGTCATTCTCTTCTAACCTAACCTGTCCGAGTCGGGGTGCTCCACGTCCCAGGCTCGCTTCGCTCGCTATTGCACTCGATATAACACCAAATTATTAACTTTCGTAACTACTTTAATTTATAAACATAATTTATGGCTGCCACCATTTGTAAGAAAAGATCTTTGCGATATTTAGCAGTATTCCGCCGCCACAAATATTTCACTATTCACCAAAATTCTGAAACTCGGAAGCAACACCGTGAGGAAAAGCTGTCAACAAAATGGCCGGCATAGCGATTTAATTTTACATATTTTTAAATCGATTCAAATCGAAATTAGATGAATCGATTCACAAAAAATCGAAATCTTAAAGATCAATTTCGCAAAAATCGTTTTTTTTTATTTGCGTTAAAAGTTTATATTTACGAATCAAAAGATACAATAAAGTACAGCTAACATTGAATAATTAAATTAAAAACTGTCATTCTTTACGAGTTGGGGTACATTCAACCAATTGTAAATAATTTTGCAAATCTAAATAAAACAGAAAAAGATTCGATCACGATTCTCTAGGGTGAAATATCGATTCACTAGATCGATTCAGTACTATATATCGATTTGACATTGACAGATGAAACGTCAAAAACGTAATTAAACTAGTCATTTACCAATATTTTTAAAAAATAATTAAAAATACTTCGACGCTGCTCCGGCAGAAAAAATCGAGTGGGGGTGCTTCAGATAAACCCCCTTGACTCCCCCACAGTGACAGAATCTTCAAATTCAGGCGACCGAATTGTAAACCCAACCCTCGAGCAGATCTCACCGATCACACAGTACTGAAACTTGAAATGATCCATTTGAATAATCGATCCAAAGACCAGTCAGTGTACCTTACACAAAGCACCAAACGGTTGACAGAATTTAGTTATCAGCGAATAATAATTATTAAGATGAAATTCTTATAATTTTTAAGTGATGTACGGAGAACCAAAACGGTGAAAATATATCGTGAGTAAAAAAATTCGCGTACTCTGAACATTTTTTCGCTATTCACTGCAGAACCCTGGTGCAGTGATTAAAAAAATTGTATTATATAGAATCGGATTTTTTTAATTGATAATGTTTGTGTTGAGAACAGGAATTTTCTTTAAAACATGATAAAGTTAAAAAGTATGTACATATTATCTGTACCTGTTTTAAATTATTACTAAGGTGCAACAATGTCACAGGCAGAGACATTTTAGGTAATACTGAAAACAATAAGTTTCCTAGAGATGGCGCTGGTGGAGGTCGTCCTAAAGCGGCACTTAATGTTGGAGCCAGATCTGTCTGCTGCACTTCCCTACCAATACTATCTTCCTCTTGTACACCAAGACCTGCCCTTCTATATGCAAACATCGCTGCAGTACGCTCAGCTTTACTTTCACCTCCATGGTCACCTGCAATATAAACTTCGATTTAAGAACATATTTTTTTTTACAGTCATTAATATAAATAACATAAAATATTCAAAATATAGCGTGTAGGGGTGGCATAAGGATAACCACTACAATACAAACAATACAATACCGTGGTTATCGCAAGAAATAACAGACGGTAACTGAATCAAGAGATGAGCATCTGATAACAGCTCCAAATACGAAAAAACTGCGGTTGCTAACTCGTCTGCCAAGCGTGAGAACTGTGGCAAATATCTTCTCTATGAGGGCCTACGTTTTGCCTGAATGAATGGACGGATAAATACATAATTTTTTTATAAAAATAGTCTATATGCTGACTAAATGTTGTTAACTAATCAAAAGAATAATTTTTATTGTAAAAGATTTTAACTGTAATAACATTTTATAAATAACGGAAGTACTTATTATAATCTCTACCATTAATTTATTATCGTAAACTCTCTTAATTATTCGCTGAACTGTTAAATCAACTTTAATGAGTAATATTATTACTTTTTATTTTATCACAAGTACATCAACAAACTTAACAATATTTTTTTATAGAATAAGGATGACAAACGAGCACACAGTCCACCTGATGGTGAGTGGATGCTGTGGCCCATAGACATCCAGATTTATCCTCGATTAAGAATCAAAATGCAGGTGCGTTGTCACCCGTGAGGACTAAGATGGAATGCCTCGTAACCAGTAAAAAAGGGTCTCCGAATCTCTACACTCACAATACGAAACACAGCAGTATTAAGTTGCTATTTTACGCGGGCATTCTGTGAGAGCGTGGTCCGGCCCCGGTCGAGCCGACCTATTCGTGCTACAACTATAACTGCAGCGTGGCTCCACCGCGTATAAAAATTTTTAAGCGTTGATATATTACTTCAAACTTAAACAGACAAATTCTAAGTAAGTTTCATCTTAATAATGCTGAATTAATGAGAGATATGAGGAAAATTAAAAACATTATTGTAAAACCTTAACATTTTAGTTACCTACATATTTGTTTAATGAAAAAATTAAGTAAGCTTAGAAACCCATGTGCTTTTATATCCTAGGATTTTAAAGTGAAAATCATTGGTTGCGCGGAAAACCATTCGCGTTTTTTATTTGACGGTAGGAACTTGTAGAATCATTATTCCTTTCCAAACAATATCATTCGTACCCTCCTATCGACACATCGGGGTGGTGGGGTGGGAGGGGAAAGAAGACGATTCTAGAACATCGCGTAATCACCCGAGCCGAGGATATATAAGACACGCGCGACCGATGCGCGAGCCTCTTCTCCCGCCGCAGTCGTCGTTGAACCAACTCTTCTCTCCTGACGCACCACTGGGGCCCCAGAAGTGTCTGTCCAGAGGAGGTTCCGGAAGTCGCCGCTATAGTGATCGACAGGAAGAAGAAACCCCGGTGAGTCAATATTCCTTAATTATACCTGCTTGCTAATAGTTTAACCCGCTCCAATCTGTGTTTTTTTTCCTAGTCAAGCAGGATTCCTTTCATCGATTCGACAAGTAATAGTTTAGTTTAGGGAAGAGCGAGTGCATTGTACCGCATGCTATAGTAGTCGCTTTTACGTAAGCGTAGAAGCAATCGCATATACAGTCCACTTTAGTTAATATCTCGCGTAATAGGTTTGAGGTTTGACCGGGGAACTAGATTTTCGGCAGCCTTAAACACGTGGCTCCACCATTTTATGGTCACTTCGGCAGGATCTGGATTGGTGTTTAGTGGTTATCCAACCATTTTCTGGTCGAATTATTAAATTAATTGTTTAGATAACGCACTCTAATTTATAGAATAGACTTAAATAGTGTTCGTTTAAATTAAAATTTTGATTTGTTACTCGCAACCAGAATTATTCATTTAATAGCGCTCGTATTTGGTTAAATTTAAAGCTTATTAAATAATTGAAACGGCGTGATAGCAACCGTTTGATACGCTTACCCCACAATTTTTATAAAATTATTAGGTTTAGCAAACGACGCGTAGCCTTGACTGCATCGGGCGCTCGATCTGATTACGTAATACGGCACGCCGAGTATTCATCCTACGTCGTTTATGCGTGTGAGATTAATTGTGATTAATATAACTTTATTATAATAATTTAAAATGGCAGTTAGTGGAAGTGAAATCAAAATTAAAACGCTTTATGCCAAGAGGGACATACTCTTTTCGCGTGTGCAGAATGTAAGTGATTATATAAAGAACATTCATATAGAGGCAGTACGGGAAGCCTTTTTAAATGAAATCGAAACGATAGATAATTTGCGGACAGATTACGAAAGAATATTAGATCAAATTAATCATTCGGAACTACAAACCGACCCGAAATACATAGTGAACTACCAACCGCTGCTGGCATTCGAAGATATGTTGTGTCGCGTGAAGAGAACCGCAAAATTGCTACAATCTCAAGGTGAAGCGAAGCCTGAAATGCAGGTACGCCCTCGTGACTCAATTAGGTTACCGCCAATAGATATTCCGGTATTCAATGGTGATATTAAGACGTGGCCCTTCTTCTTCAGTAGTTTTCAAAACAATATACACAACAACCCATCGTTATCGGACGCTGAAAAATTATATTACTTAATTAGTAAACTTAGTGGCAGAGCACAATCGATATGCTCGGGTTTTACACCTACAGCAAACAATTACGTATTAATATTTGAAACGCTTAAAACTAAATATGAAGATAGGAGAATGTTAGCTTCCGAATATTTGAACCAGATATTCGATCTTAAACCTATATCATCCGCGAACATCAACGGCTTAGAGCAGTTTCTCGATAAATTTGTGGCATCGGTGGCTGCACTTAAGAATTTGAAGTTTAATGACCTCATGGACGTGGTGTTTCTCCATATAGCATTAAAGAAATTAGACTCCGACACCGTGCGTGCGTTTGAAATGGAGCATCGTAGCTCGGAGATGCCTTCCTTTCATTCATTAGCATCGTTCGTGCGAGATCAAATAAAGGTGATGCAGCGCTCACCGAACGTTAAACAGGAGATTAAAAGGTGCGTCGACCGTAGACAGACTCAACCATCTAAAATAGCAGGGTCGTTAACTTACGTAACCGCTACGCCGACATCACTCCAGCATACTTGTATAGTATGTAAAGATAAACACGGTAATTTATATAACTGTGCGACTTTTCGTAAATATTCACCAAGCGAACGTTATAAGTTAGTAAAAACAAACAACCTATGTTTGAACTGCTTAAGCGATAAGCGTTTAGTTGCAAAATGCAATTCGAGTTCCGTATGTAGCAAGTGCGCCAGGAAACATCACACGCTATTACATTTTGAAAATAGCAACATAGCGGCGTCAAGTAAGGCGAATAAGGAATTCACCCCTACTAAGGTCAACGATTCTAGCGGTCGACCTGGTGATGTCGCTCTGTGCTCATTGGCAAATATGGGAGCACAACCTCCTTCAACCGTGTTACTGGGTACGGCGCGTATTTTGGTTAGGGATTCGCGTGGAAACAAACAAAGCGTCCGTGCACTGCTGGACAGCGGAGCCCAAAATAGCTTTATAACACGACAATGTTGTCAGCGCTTAGGCTTAGTAATAAATAGGTCACTTTCATGTCCTGTAGTTAAAGGCATCGGAGGTACTAGTAAAGCGACACAGGGATATATAAATTTAAAATTTTATTCTCGGATAGATCGTAACGTTAACTTTGATATAAATGCACTAGTAGTAGATAGGGTCACTGAACGGTTGCCAACCGTTTCGGTTGACACCTCGGCAATGATTGAATTTAAAAATTTGACTCTAGCAGACGACACTTACGCCGTTCCTGGAAACATAGACATGCTCATTGGGGCATCGCTTTTCCCTCATCTTTTGTTAAACAATAAGGTCAGGGGCAACTCCTCGCATACCGCGCCTTACGCACTGGAAACCGTATTGGGCTATGTGATCCTTGGCTCCGCCCCCATCCTAGATAGTATTTCGGCAGCCTCTTATTGTGGTATGGCTGTCGAACCGCTCGAGTCGTTAGTCCGCAAATTTTGGGAGATGGAGGAGGTGAACGTCCCACCCATAGCTAGTTCAGATGACAGGATATGCGAGGAAATTTACGTCCGCACGACCGTTCGTGATCGCGACGGTAGATATAGTGTAGCGCTACCCTTTAAGGGAGATGTTTTATCTCTCGGCGATTCGCGTCAAATGGCGGAAAAACGTTTCTACAGCTTGGAGCGTAGGATGCTCGCTTCGCCCCAGTTAAAGGAAGCTTACGACGGCGTCATTAACGAATATATAAGAGAAGGTTACATATCACTTGTGGCTTCGAAATTAGATAACTACGAAGACACACCGTCGTATTTTATACCACACCACGGAGTCATTAGAGAGGACAAACTTACATCTAAATTACGTGTAGTGCTCGACGCTAGTGCTAAAACTAGCACTCACCTGTCGCTTAACGATATCCTCTATAGTGGGCAAAATTTACAGGGCAGTTTATTTGATATAATAGTCAATTTTCGTTTGTTTAGTATAGCACTATCCGCCGATATTCGCCAAATGTTTCTTTGCATAGGGGTCCGTGAATGCGACCGTAGATTCCAGCGCATTTTATATCGTTTCCACCCAAAGGAACCTCTAATGGTGTTAGAATTTAACCGCGTTTGTTTTGGTTTAAAGTCGAGCCCATTTCATGCGTTACGCACGGTGAGACAGCTCGCTCACGATGAAGGTCCCTCTTATCCTAAAGCTAAGAGGGCAATTGAGAGCGGATTATATATGGATGATTTTGTGTATTCGGTCGATAGCGTGGAGGAGGCCACCCTAACCACCGCCGAGGTTATAAGGCTCATGAAATCGGGTCAATTCGATCTTGTGAAGTGGACTAGTAATTCGCGTCCGGTTTTAGATACAATCCCACTATCACACCGTCTTTCGGCGATAAAGGAATTCGACGATTCCGATACACACAAGGTGCTCGGTCTGTGTTGGTCACCAGAGTCCGACGTGTTTAG